TAATTTTTAATAATTTTTTTTTTATCCAAAAATATTTTGTGTCTGAATATTTCCAAAAATATGTTTTTTCAAGAAACGCTGAATCTTCAAGTTGAAGTTGACTTCAATCAACCCACATTTGCAGCTTACAAAACGACACACTTCAATAATTCGCCTTTACTTTCAATATTCACACACACTAACCTCTAATCCATTTTTTTTAATTTTTATAATTTTTTACCTTGTAAAAGTATGCGTTACAGGAAGGCACCACATTTGTCATTTGTGCAACAGAGCAACAAAAATGTTATTTGTTTACATAGCCATACATTTGCATATGTATGTATGTATGTATGTATTTCATAATTTTCTAATTAGAACTTTATTGCTGACCCGTTATGAGCGTAACAAAAAGTATTTGATCACGAGCAGCGCAAAATAATATTCCAACACATCGCGGCTAATATCCAATGGTGACGACACCAATGTGCCATTGGATCCAATAAATGGAGACGCGTTTAGTGGTAGGTCGCGGTACCGTCGTCGTAAAATTGAAATTATATTTGCGCGCGACTTTTTTTTTCTATCTGTTCAATTGCTACCGAATAAGCAATTTGAAAAGCGAAACCGAAAAGCAAAAAAAAAAAAAAGGGAAAACCGAAAACGATGCGGAACAGGCGTACGAATAGGCGATGCGAAAAAAGTAAAAATGTTTCGGAAAACTCGCAAATATCCGGCCGCTTAACACACAACCGCTGAACGAATTAATCCACGTTTATTTGCAACAACCGTCTTTTGTCGCAGTCATAATAAGACTAAACATCTCGCTGAGACCCAGTACAAATTGTCTGCGATTCGCGCGCTTCGCGAAACCCACCAACAACGGCGGCAGTAACATGCCAATGCAATAGCAGTCACAGCAGTGGCGGTGCTAACATCGTGAGCGAATCTACAGCCAATCAACTCAATGTTGCAGTTTGCACTTTCCGCTGTATGTGTTACATGTATGATTAAATGTATGTATGTGTGTACGATTAAGTTTTAGCAGAATGCTTATGCTTGCTCCCAGTGTGACGATTTGTGCGAGCGTACCGCTGAGCGTGGCGCTCTTCGGCCGTGTCAGTCGCGTAGTAGACGTTGTCGTGTGCGCATACACAATCAAGCTTCAAGTTCATCCACTGAACTTCAAAGCTTTGCTGCCAAGCAACCATATCTATAGCGCTGTGCAGTTACTCGTCGGCGTACATCGTCTTCGACGCCACCTTCAGGTTCAAAAACATTGGGGCTCGAGCTATGTATGTATGTGTATGTATGTTTTCATTTATCACTCGCTGCACTGAAATATACATGTTTATTCTCTCTCTTTTTCTCTATCTCTCTCTGTGTATCTCTCTATATATCGCTTCATGTGGAAGAGCTTATTCGTGAAATGCTTAAGTGGACCCGTAACAAATTTTGAGTTCCGGAGCGCCCTTAGTTCCTCGTATTATTAAAATAATATGCCTTTCCAATGCCAATGCAAGAATAACCAATAGTTAAGTCCAATTTTGAAACTAGAGTCCTTCTCAATGAGCACGTTGATTGTGCCAAGTTACTTTAATTTTTAGATTTTGTTATGATAAAGGTTTGAACTCACATATTAACGAACTCAATCCAAGATTTTTCTTTAGAATGCTAGACTCGCCAGATGGGTGAACAGAAGAGGCCAGGCCGTCAAACCAAACTGATTTTATTTAGCAGTGGGTATAAAACCCTCGATGTTTCGACGCCTCTGTGGGAGCACTCGTCTGTGGACAGAGCGAAGGACCTCACTCTTTGAAAGAAAAAAGAAAAGTGGGCATCATTTTGGTGCTTTAACGGATGCCTAATCTCCGTTAGGATGGTAAGGATTAGATAAGTTGTCGTCGACAACGGAAGCCCCAAGAAAGGGGTGTTAGATGGGAGGGGCATGCAAAGAGATGGCCAGTGTCATGCGCAGACTCATTACGCGCAGGACATATGTTGGATATATCGGGGTCTATTCTGAATAGGTAGGAGTATAACTTCCTACGGTATTCTTATTGTCTGATGTCGTCCTCGTAGTTGAGCAATGACCTCTTGATGTTCCTACGGGGCGATTCCGCTCTAAGTAATTGACTGGAACGATGATTTCAGTGAAAGCACCCCAGCAGAAACTGCTTGGAGAGGAGTTCGCTATGCTCCTTAACTGGGAGCATAAGGGCCTCGTACGTAGGAGACATCAAGAGGCATTATGTCCTAGTCCAGAGTGAAATAAGTACTCAATTCCTACAAGGGCCGTTATTTCGGAGATCTAACCTCGTTTAGAAGTAGGTCTCGTCAAAACCGAGTTGATTGTTGTATTTGTTTGATAGAGAGCGTTCTGTAAAGCCACACTCGCTAAACACGCCGAACGTATTCAAATGACTCCGTTATCGGTGGTTTCTTCTCTGAGAACATGTCTGCCGAGGATATGTGTGTGGAGCAGGGAGGGTGGAGAGGGAGTCTTCAGTCGCGATCTTTGGTAAGGCTGCTACCTTGACCTGCGAACTCATGATTAAAAGTTACGTTTATAACGCGAGCCGCTTGCTCTATGACCGTCGCCTGTTGTCGCTGTCATGTGAAAATAATCTAACAGAAATATTGTATTATGTTTTTATATTGTCTTAGCTTCGCTACTCACTTTCGATTTTACCAGCTTGGAAGGTAAATGCCAGTAGCTTCAGCATCCCTCTCAGGGTCGTTGGACTTACTGAGCCTCCTAATAGCGACAAGATAACAAATAGGAATAAATAACAACCCACAAAAAGTAGCTATCCATCCAGCTCCTGCTCCATGCTACTAAGCAAGTTGAGTGTCCTTCAAGCAGAGATGGCTGCCATCAAGGTAGCAGCAAATTTATTATTCCGAAGTGGAGAATTATAATGATTATGAAATCATTGGTATAACATAATAATGATAATGTTATCATCAGTAATAACATCAAGTGACTTCGATATTAAATTTGTTTAGGTGCCTAATCACAGCGGATTTGTTGGAAACTGCAAGTGCATGAGCTCACAAGAAAAATCACTCTTCCAAATTCCATCAGGCTGGGAACGAGTTGGTATTTTGACTTGTCCTCTTCCGTTCTGCTACCGGATCTGTAACCAGCACCTGGGCCGTTGTGGGTATATTAAATAAGTGATGTACAAAATTCTATTCGGTAATTCATCAACAACATTTGAGGGTCATTGAATGGAGCATGTTCCATATCCATGAACACAAATATTAGCTTAAAGGACTTCCTCCGCCAAAAGCTGAAGCTATGAAACCACGAAAATATCTTTTAGGCCACTGCGGGATGGTTTTTACCTTGTGGGCTGGAGTACAATCGTCCTGGAAGGTCTATTGCTCTTCATCGAAGCGATTATTGCTTAAGTGCTTCACCACTTCTTTTAAAACATACCACTGAGACACTATATCCCCAGTTTTAACTCTTTTTCACAGAAGTGAAGAAGTGTAATGCCTTTAGATGAGGCTACCCACCAAACTATTACAGCAGCGCATTGGTCACCACCTATATTCCTCATTGTATGCATTGAAAACTTTTTAACATAATTTATGACAAGTGTAAGTAAATGAACAGCTTACGAGCTGTCCATCTAGTTCATCAAGTTTTGAGATATCTATCTGAAAATTTGCACATGTCCCCAAGAAGAAACTGTTCGATCAAAATCAAATTCTTATATGGAATCTTTAGGGTTTGCGAAACAGCAATAGTGCAACCGCTTATTTGTATATATTAACATAGCGTTTTAAATGTTACAATTTATTACATAGGAGTTTTAGATAACACAACGGAACGAAGTTTAAAGCTGTCCAAGTGATATCGATGGATGGAGGATGGATCTCTTTGTCTAACCTAACCTACCCCCTCTTCCAGCAGCTGGCGGCGGGCACGATGACCCTCGCAGGAAGGGAATGAGTGGAGTCAGCCTTAAGTGGTACCTGAAGCACCTCCAGGAGGGGAATACTTCCGAGGTGGTGGAGACTCTGGCCAGGAACATAGTCAGGGGAAGCAGTGAATCTCCTGCAAAGGAGGGCCGCGGCTGGAGTTGAAAGGCTGGAAGGGTACTGTCCTCTGCGCAAGAAGGGCGGTGCATGACGATGTGCCCCCCTCGATGCGAAGACAAGTCATATGAGTTTGCTTTAGAATCAGAACCTGGGCCTAAGTATCTCAGCCTGGCGCGTTGTTAGCAACAAGGTAGCGGATGAGATGCAAGTAGATAAGGTTGATACTCAATCCACCGACAGGCGGAACAGGTTGCAGCTGTTGCGGCTTCGGAAGTCCCCGACGAAAGGACTTAAGAGAGTTCGTTGGAGAGAGGGAAGGTGATGATTCACGCCTTCCTAGACATCGAAGGTGCTTTTGACAACACGTCTCAGAGGAGTGTAGCCAGGGCACTGGAGAAAAGGAATGTGGCAGCACCGGTGCGCAGATGGATAAAAGCTGTACTGCGCATCAGAATTGCTAAAACCACAGTAGGAGATACAAGGATCGGTCGTGACACAACAAGGGCCTGTCCACAGGGGGGCGGGCTATCCTCCTGCTATGGAGTCTTGTTGTGGACGACCTTCTAGCACTGCTAACGGACAATGGGATCCGCTGCCAAGCGTATGCGGACGACATTGTAATAGCCAGAGGCGAAACTGAGGACACTCTCCGCGACCTTCTACAAAGAGATTTAAACCTAGCAAAAGGGTGATGTAGTAGGGTTGTGTTGAACATCAACCCCTCCAAGACGACCGTAGTCCCGTTCGCAAGACGTAGATCCCAACCCAGTCTCAGAAATCTTACACTCCGGGGGGGGCAGAGAAATAGAGGTGACCAACGTGCTCAAATATCTTGGTCTCACGCTGGATTCCACTTTGCGGTGGAAGCAACATGTTGACCTGACCTTGGTCAAGGCGACAAAGGCACCAATGGTCTGCATTTGGCTGCCGGGAAAATTTTGGGTCTGCAAGCCAAGGATAGTTAGGTGGTTGTACACCAAAACTATGCGACCGATAATCATGTACGGAGCACTGTCCTGGGCTACAAATCGCTACTGGTGCAGGAGTGCAGAGAACGGCTGAACAGCTTAGCGGAACGTAACCACCTGCACCTCATTTGGGTACCCGGTCACAGAGGTATAGCCGATAACTAACTGGCTGATGAGCTCGCTCTCTCCGTAGCTTCCACCAATATGGTATGACGCGAATACTTCACTGGAGTGGGCCCCCATACTATAGAGGAGTTGCTGCGCAAGGATGGAGTAGGCAGAAAAAGGCATTGGCAACAAATGCATGTCATGCGACATGCCAAGATGCTAATGGGGGGTACAACCACCGCAGATTTAAATTTGCAATTAACCTCCTTAGGGACAAACTCAGGCTACTGGTCGCATTTTACCCGGGCCACTGCAAGCTGAATAAGAATTTTCTCAATATGGGCCATCCTCTTGCGCAAACTGCCGGTTCTGCGATAGTGAACCTGAAATAAGAGAACACCTGCTAATCGACTGCACAGCAGTCTATAGACGCAAGATTAAGACCATTGGATCCATGTTTCCGAATAGGGATCGCATCGCCTCACTAGTACCCAGCAAAATTTTGGACTTTATCAAAATGCTGGGGCTATGTGAGTCGTTGTGATTTAAGAGAGGGCACATGGTCATGACATGGCTTCGCTTGGAATCACCAGTTAGCGCCACGTTGCGAAAAGAACAAACGACAGGCATGTTAACAATGGCTGTAATCGCGTAAGCGGTGTCTACGCCAATAAAGAAGTAAATATTTTTTTTCGGTTGATTTTAGCTAAATCTCTAAGGCATAGTGATGGTCACAGCTTTGGTTGAAACTGGATCAACAGAAACAGTCATTACTTTTAAAACTATTATTTTTAAATATTATAAAATAATTTATTGGCAAAAAAACATATTTGAAAAGTGTCAGAAATCACTTCAAAAATTGGAAAACAACAAAAAAAAAACACAATAACTGTTTTTTAACACACTATTTATTACATTAATATTATATGTATGTATGTACTTCAGAATTGTGGTCAGTATAATTACAATACTATTGTAAACAGATCTGGTATTTATTTGCGTATATTAGCTATGACATTTTTGTCTTGGGAAGGTGGATTAGATGAGTTATTGAGCAAAGCTGTGAGTGTTGCATGCGAAGAGCTTAACGTGCTGGGCTTTGCAAGTGGATTTGCATCGCTGGAGCTGGTGGCTATATTGCTGCTACCAACATTGACATTATTTTTATTGCTTTTGTTGAGAAAAGTGTTAATCGGTGAAGCTGTGCTTACTGTGTTGATTGAGCTCATTGTTTTAATACAAGTAGCACTGTTACCGCCACTATTGTTATTCTGTGCGGCAATACCTTGTAGCAGAGCATTTCGTAAGTGACTATTGCCTTGTGTGCCGGCACCAACCGAAAAGGAGTTGGTAATCAAACCTCGGCTCTTTATGTTTAGGTCTACGAAGAACAGCTTCATCTTTTGTATCATAAATTCGGGTACCGTAAATGTATTCATTATACTGATATCAATATTAGATTTGGTCCGATATAGCTCATGAGTTTGTTTTAGTTTGCACACTTCTTCGTATATTAAAAATAGAAAGCGTGAATTACGATTTTGCGCCGCTATAACATTTTGTGCACTTAACCAATCGCGATCTTCATTATCGGGCAAGTAGCGTATTAATTCTGGGTGTTTGCTGGCCAAACGCTCTTTCCCATCCGTGCCAAAACCAAAAGCTTGGTTAGCCTGTACATCTAACACAAATTTAGTTGTTACTGAGATATGTGCTGTATTCCAGAAAATTTGTCTACGCACAGGTGCAGGTGCAACAGTTAATGAGCCCGATGTCTGTATTTGCCTCTGTTGATTTGACGATGTGTTAAGAAGCGTTTTTACATTTCCCGTACCCTCTGGTATATTAGAGGCAGCACTTGGATTGATTGTCTGTAGCTGTTGTTGTGTGGCGACTGTTAGCAGTTTTTTGGCGGGTAATTCAGTAAATTCCACATGTTTAGGTGGTGGACGCCTGACTGCGAAACGCAAACTGGTTGTCTCACCAACAGGATATTGTGGTGTAATATTTTTGGTACTAACAGAAACACAAGCCAGCGGCTGCTTCAAAGTGCGATATGGATTATATTGTGCTTTAGCGTTCTCCAGTAATGCACAAGACATCTTTTGAAGCTAAAGAATATGATTTATAAGTTGATGAAATATATACAACGTGAATGTTAGAAATGCTTACAATCTCTTCAGAGACTACGTTTTGTCCTAAATTCTCCTTTATGTTCTTGAATGCGGGTTTAAAGTATGTCTTCAAGCATAAACACATACATTTATAAAGCAAGTAAAAAGGATGAAATTTAATTTTGATTTTTAGAAAATTAGATATGTACGAGGTACCTCCATATAATGTTTAATAATGACATCTATTTCATGGTCAAAAGATTGTTGCACACTAATACGTAAGAGTTCGAGCGAGCGCATAGCTGATTCAGCAGTTGCTCCTGTGCCGCTTACTTGCACGGGACAGCTTAAACGTTGTCTCAACCTTTGTAACATTGTTTCAGCCATATGAGGTGTGGTCACATATTTCTACAAATTAAGCACGAAACTATAAATGAATATAATTTTTGATGCGACTATTGAATTTCACTCACAGTGGAATCATTCGACAGGATGCTTGTCATATTTATAGTATTGACGTTATTAACGCTTGCTAGTGTTGGCGCGATTGTTTGTTGTACTGCTTGTTGGGTCGCTTGGCTTTCTAATTTCATTGCTGGAGGACTCGCTACGCTTGTAACCATTGAGTGTGTAGTTTGGTTGGAACAGTTGGAGTCATCCGAAGATGATTGCATGCCACCAGGTGATCTATTAGCCTCCGTAGAAGAAGCGGAAGACGATCCAGCATCGCTTAATATTTTCCAGCTGCGTTGAATTACCATGTCCACTTAATTTTTTATTGCCCGCAACACTATGGAACTTCAGATGTAACTTTTACATCACTGATGTGAATTTACCTCAATACCAACAAGGTATGAAGAAATATGAAAGTTCTGTATCGATATTTTACATCTTTGCTCTGCTAACCAGGTAATCTCTCACATTTATTCACATATACAAATTAAACAGGATATCCAGTGCGCAGTTGCAAACAAACAGCATTTCATCCCCAAATCAAAACAACTTTTTGTCGTAGTTATATTGTATATGTAAATACAAAACAGTAGAAACAGTTTTAAATAAATTGCTATTGGAGCAATTCTTCTTCGCATACATGAAGACGGTAATATGGTTCACCGATTTCTAATTTACGTTCCTCATTAAGCACTTTTAATAATTCCGCATTGTCACCTTCATCCATATTTTCCTCATCGTCAATTTCAATTGTGTCAAGAGAGTCACTTCCTTTGGTATAAGAGCTCTTAGTTGAATGTTTTTGTTTTATACCTGCTAATTTGGCATCAAAGTCATCCATATAATTTATTGGATCGCTATAGTCCATGGGACGTTCGTAATTTTCGTTTACTTCAATTCCAAGTATATCGGGGACCATAAATGCAAACAGCCAACCGACTAAAGGCGTAGTACCGTAGGTATAACTGGACTCTTTGTGATAAAACAACCAACCATCTAATCGAGGTACATTTTCTGACCAAAAAGGATACCGTTGAAAAGCTTCTGAAATGTCAGCACCATTTTCAAAATCATAGCGCGGCAGGTATTTAAATGATTTCTTGTTACATGAATTAGCAACACAAAGTTCAGGGCACTCTTCGAATTTCGAACGTAACCAAAAGAAACGAAACTGTGCTTCACAATGAACCAACTCTTGATTGCCATAAACCAGTGCATCCAATACATAAAATGTATCCTCATCAGCTGAATAAACACAATCCAGTATTGTGCTCATTTTACTACCACGTGGACCACTGCCACCAGGTAATAAACTAGGAAAATACATACGCCGACGACCAGCTTTAGTATACATTTCAGTGCGCCCACTATATGTCACAACTAAACAACGTTGCCCTTTTGGGCATGGCACCAAAATCCAATCATCTATATTCTCGGGACGCTCTCGTAACCATTCAGATAACTGTAGGGAATACTCCGTACCATCTGCATTTTGCAATGCTCTAGAGCTTTTATTAACTGAAGCGGATTGTTTTGTTTCCTTCTTGTGTTCATCCGAAAAATCTATACCACGTTTTAAGTCATGTAATAGCAACCGATTGCGTTTCTGCTCTTCCAACAATTTTCTACGCCTTTCTTCTTGTAATTCGGTTATGACTTTCCCACTTTGCTTGTATAAATTACGAAACATCTTTCTAATTTTAGTTTTAAAAATATATTACAATTATTAAACAATAACAAACATTCAATTTAGCTCTGGCATTTTCACTTCAATTTCGAAAATACTGTTGCCAACTCAAACATTTAGATAAACGCTTTTTTTTGTGTTGTATAAAGAATTTTGTCTGATACATTTAATAATTTGATTAATTGATAATTCTATTTATTTGTCTAAATAGAATTTATATCAACAAAAATTTTCAAAAATTAGTAGATTTAGAAAAATATTTGTTATGTACTTTTATATTCGCATCACATTTAAATCAATATTTAGACTTAACCTTTGGTCAATATAATTTAAAGTAAAAGCATGAAAAAACGTTCTAGTCTTATAATTATATATAGGAAAGTAAATAAAATAGCGAAGGAGCGTAATTGTAGCAAGTGACCTCTAATTCTACTCGAATCATCCTTATTTTCAAAAAGCCGAAACTATTATTTTGTAAACCGGGATTTGGCAACACTTACGGCATATTCGAAATGTCAAATTCAGCCGGTTTACAGCAGAGTTGCACTTTTGTGTTTCTCAGTACAAGTTGTACCAGCATGTCACAGCTGTCGAGACTTCATTGGAAGCCATCTATCGGTTAACTCAGCGGTTAATTATCCTACCGCGCTACCATATATTCCTCTCTCTCTCTCTATCGAGGACGATATTGTAGTGGTCATGATGGAAAAACCCTAATCAAGCAATTTATCAATAGCAAAATCATTCGCCATAACAGCTACAGGTAATAAAGACTTATTCACAGCTCTGGACTATAAAGTGGATGCATAGGAATCTCTCAACCAAGCTCGCGGAGCTTTGTCGAGTCACTGTTGATATGTGTGGCGTTGTCCTGTTAAAAACAAATTACTTTCTTGTTGGCTAAAGCTGGCCGCCTTTGAGCAATCGCATACTTTAAACGGTTAAATTGTTGACAGTTTACGTTTGAATTAAAATATTGACCGTAGGTGGACTGCCATTCGGCCTCAACCGTTTGTGATTGATTCTTAAGGGCGGAGCCTGCTCCTATTGATAATTTTTTTGGGAACGATATAAATAATTGATTATATAGTTATATGTATATTAACACATAATTCTCAAATTTTTTGGATACGAAATCTTTCAAATTCTGCTTTTGGAAAGCAATATGAGCATGTGCGAAAGTCACACCCAATTTTTGCACAGTTAACAAGTCATGGATCTTAGAGTATAATCCTGAGACAAAGAGGCAATCTCCCTTTTCTTTTGAACAATTTTTTAAAGCTTCTAAAGAAGACCGTACCATCGAGATACGTATATTCACGTTCAATGAACAATCACGGCTATTGCATGATGAATTCAGCAAATCCAAGAGTTTCGACTCGCAACTTATCGGCTCAGACAGTCAATAAAGCGGATAATTCATGATGAAATAGCTTATTTCCATACAAAGATCAAATAACATGCTGGTTAAACTAGACTGGACTAGTTACTGTGTGGTGCACAGTTTCAGTTTTCCCTATCCGCTGGCTCCCAAGGCACCTGACCTAGCTGCATCAGACTTTTTCTTTTGGTTGATATCAAGGATGTGGCGTTCAACATAAAACCTAGAAATCTGACAAAATTTAAGCAGTCCATTAAATCGATAATTGAGGGTTTCTTGACTTCGACCGCTTTAGGTCGCAAAAATAATTTTCTAATTATGTCGCATATGTGTGGCTGAGCATGGAGGTCATTTACGGTCCATAATTTTTATAAAAATTTATTATATAGAATAAAATTTGCTATACAACAAAAAGAAAAAAGTGTATACGGTTTGTAGTACGATTCATGCGCCACCCTGTTTGTATCCAGCATTATTTAAATGGTTCCCAAAGGATTTTTGCGCAGATACCATGTATCAAATAACAAATGACACGGAAAGTCGACAACTCGTCTCGTTGTCCTGATTATTTTTAATCTCTATTTCTCAATCTACAAGTAACTAACATTTCCCTTATCTCCCCCACTGGGCCTCTGGTTTCTGCTAAAGAGTTCCTGTTAAAAGAATTTTGTGCCTTCAAATTCATTGAGCAGCCTGTTGAAACAGGCTTATTTCTCGTGACACGATTACCTCTTGTAGGCTTTCCAATCTTGACATTTTGATCCTTGTTGAAATTAACGCTTATTCGAGGTGGTAAGTTTACCGCAATAGTTATAAGCACAAAGTGGGAGGTTAGTAGAAACTACTGTCCTTTGGTGACTGAACACATAGTAGTAGAAGACTACCTCGGAGTCTGTGGACGATACCGTTGGTTGACCCTACTAACTCATGTAAGGGTTGGTACTTTACTGACATTTACTTCCCTCTGAGTACAATTTATGAATATTTTTTCCTATGATTGTAGATCTGACCATAAAATTTTCTGTAATAATAATAATTCGGAAAGAAGCGTTTGTTTTTTCAATGCGCTCATGAATTCGTTTGACTGTGTGTGTACCATATACGAAATATGATATAGGGGAGAATTCAATGGTAATAATTTACAAATCTGTTGTATAGGGGTACGTGAATGCAAGTCGTGCATACTATTGAACGGACCACCGCGAGGTCATAGGTGGGTTGCAAAAAGGAAACAGAAACGAATAATCTTTAGGTCTCCTGATGCTTTACGTCTGCTACCCACAGAAATATATGTATGCACATGTTGAATGAATGGAAGCCACATTATATATAATATATAGTATATATGTAGGAATGCATATATGTATATAGGCATACAGATGTAAATGATTTTATTTGTTGAAAGTAAAAACTGACAGTAAGAGAACTCGAACAACCCACATTATAGACGCTTCGCAGTTCGTCTGCAATCCACTATAAGCCGAACGGGCAGCAATTACTACAAGACACACACGCTTCCATCCACAGAAAGGCCGTGAGGCCGTGCGGAGCACTCATGCGCCAGCCGATACGAAGCCTCCACAGGCGTATGCGTGGAAGTGTGTCAAGAGACAGGCCAGCGAGATGGCAGATTGTTATACGTACTGTACTCTTTCGAAGAATTTACAGCGATTTCCATCGCAACAACAATAAAAACTAATGCAAGCACAGCAGTGAAATGTGAAAACACCGACAAAACTGGATGTTAATGCGATCGTTGAAAAACTGTCCATACACGAAAATACGACTTGTGTCTATGTATGGGTGTGTAAGCGGTCCCATGTGTGTATGTGCTCTTGGATAGCTGTATTGTGTTGTGATATTTTGGAGCAATTGTCAGTTGGAGGACGAACGTTGAGGCTTTTGGTTCACTGACGAGTTTTTGCAAAATAAATATATCAAAGTTCCTTAGTAAACAGTGAAAATAAGCTGAAAAATGAGTTCCGTGGTGAGTTTAAAAAAGTGGTTATACTATGTTTCATGTGTTTGGATAGTGTGTGTATTTAGTAAATAACAAAATTCTCAATCTGTATTACAGGACGAAGATCTGACACCTGAGCAAATTGCAGGTAAGTTACTTTCTACTAATCCGCCCCGAACATTGTCTAAGAGTTTTTATTTCATATATTATAGTGCTTCAGAAAGCCTTTAACAGCTTTGATCACCAGAAAACCGGTAGCATCCCAACTGAAATGGTAGCGGATATTTTGCGTTTGATGGGACAACCGTTCGATAAGAAAATTTTAGAGGAACTTATTGAAGAAGTGGATGAAGATAGTAAGTAATATTCGGGGATATTTGGAAAATTAATTAAAGCATGAAAACACCTTAACTTCTTCTGCACCGGTGCTATAATACTCTCACCAAATACAAAAGATTCCATACAAGAACTTGATTTTGATAAGTCAGTTTGTATGGCAGCCATATGATATAGTGGTCCGATCTGAAAAAATTTTTCGAAGATGGTACCGCTATCTCATGCAATAATTCGTGTCAAGATTTCATGAAGATAGCTTGTCAAATAAAAGAGTTTTCAAAACTAAAACTTGATTTTCATCCGTCAGTTTGTATGGCAGCTGTATGTTATAATAGTTCGATCTGAAAAATTTCTTCAAAGATTGTACCGTTATCTTAAGCAATAATTCATGTCAAGATTTCATTAAGATATCTCGTCAAATAAAAGAGTTTTCAAAACAAAAACTTTATTTCAACCGCCAGTTTGTACGGCAGCTGTATTTATAGTGGTTCGATCTGAAAGATGTCTTCGAGGATTGTACCGTTGACTTAAGCAATATTTTTTGTGTCGCATTTCCATAAAAATGTCTCGTTGAATAAAAAAGTTTTTCCCTACGAGGATATGACTTGTATCGAGCTTAGTGCTCTAACCTCACTCAAGGAACCCTACAGTGAGGTCCTTAAAAATAATTCCCGAGGCCAGTACACCCATATATTTGCAATTATCCCTATTTTAGTTACTAATGTGTATATTTTTGCCTTCACTCTTCCCTCTAGAGTCCGGTCGTTTGGAGTTCGAAGAGTTCGTGCAGTTGGCTGCCAAATTTATCGTCGAAGAGGATGCTGAAGCCATGCAAAAGGAGTTGCGCGAAGCTTTCCGCTTATACGATAAACAAGGCAACGGTTTCATTCCAACAACTTGCTTAAAAGAAATTCTCAAAGAGTTGGACGATCAACTGACCGAGGCTGAACTTGATATTATGATCGAGGAGATTGATTCGGATGGCTCTGGCACGGTGGACTTTGATGGTAACTTTTTAAATGTTTATCAGTAATACAGGTGCCATATTGGCATTCTTGTAGTTATATGTATGTACATGTGTGTTTGTTTTATTAACGGTAAATTGCTTTCAATAATATTATAGATATATGTATGTATGTGTGTGGTGTTGTGGCACTTGTGGCTATATTTAGGTTTTTATGATCCAAATTTTTTATTGCCGCAGACATTCGATCGAAAGCTTCTGTCATAAACAACAACAACAACYGCAAACGTCGTCTATGGGTGCGAGGGCGTTACTCGACTATTTATTTTCAAATGCGTTAATTAGCGTTGTTCGGCTAATTAAAAACAGTCGACATGTGGAAAAACAACAATTGCACAAAAGTGTTTTTTATGTGAATAATATGAAACGGTTTATAGTGTGAGAGATTTTAGTCAGATATTATAGTTGTTGGCTGGTTATTTTGCAGTAGCTTATCAAAAAGTTTAATTTTTGTCAGGTGCGCCGACTGGAAATTAGGAGGTGGCGTGCATACATTTATACTAAAATATGTGTGTGTGTGTGTTGAAAATTTTCCTCCTATACTGTGAATTTTCGGACATTTGTTTGTGTGTCTAAGCCAATATATACATACACAAATACTGATGAGCAAAGCAATGTTGGAAATGGATCGCTTATATATCATTTTCTCGACATAATTGTTTATATTCGATTTCGAAAAGAGTTTAAAGTTGTAAATAACGGTTGTAACAGAACATTTTAACTTTGCTATGATACCTTTCATAGAAAAATATGTTTCTCATAGCAGAACTTGACCCATATTGTGCAGTTTGTATAGGCAGCTATATGTTATAGTGGTCCGATATCGGCGTTTCCGCCAAATAAGCAAGTTCTTAGTAAGAAAAAAAAAAACGTGTCCAAAGTCTAGGAATGTTATCTCAAAACCTGTGCGACTAATTCGCATATATATAGACAGACGGACCGACGAACAGACGCACTTGGCATAATCGACTGAGCTTGGGCAAAAAATATTAAGACTTTGTTCATGATTTGAAAATTCTTAATTTATTCTTCAAAATCTATAACGTCCTCCATAACATAGTCTTCTTTTACATTTACAATCTATTTGTGTCGACACTTTTTCCAATCGTTGAAACAGTTTTCAAAGTCAATTTCCGGAATAGGTTTCAATCCGCGTAGCGATTCACGCTTAATGTCTTCAATTGACTCAAAACGGTTACCGCTGAGCGGTTGCTTGAGTTTGCTGAATAGCCAATAGCCACACGGAGCTAATCAAGAGTTGTCGGCCCATAATTCCGGCCTATTTTTACGAATAGCTTTGCTCAAATGACTTAAAACACTCCAATAGTATTCCTTGTTAAAAGATTGGCTGGCCGGAAGTATTTCGTAGTGCACCACACCTCGATAATCGAAGAAAGCTGTCATAATATTCCTGATTCTTGATGTGTGTTTTTCGGTTTGACTCATCTTTGCCCCGACATACGGCCGATCGTCTGGGTTTCTCTTTTTCGATGCTGATTTGGAACCAATCGAGCTTCAATTTTTCTTAGGCTCAAATGATCTTTCAAAGTGGCTTTCACTGCTTATTCCGATATTCCAACGAGGCCAGTGAGATCCCGGACTGTTAATCGTCGATTTCCAAGCACCAATCCACTTATTTTATTGGCGTGTTGACCATCAGTTGATATCTGCCCTGAACGTCGCTAGTTCGTCGTCAATTTGTACCAACCAAAAACAGTTGCTTGCGACAAAAAAATATCACCGAAGGATTTTTCCAATATTCTGAACGTTTCGGCACCAGACATTTGATTCCGCACACAAAATTTATGAAACTTCTTTGTTGAAGAATTTCAAGCAGCGTAAAAATCGCCGAATGGTTACTTTGACAGTCATATCAACCCAAGAAAAAATATATATGAATGAATGGCTTTTCACGCGAAATTTGAATTAAAAAGACTTACTATGATTTGTCCACAGTCTCCGACGAAAATTCCTTACAAACTTCCTAACAAACTTAATACTATATATCGAGTTTAGGGTATAAAAATGTTGGATAGGAGTTTAAGATATCAATTTTCATTATTTGACGAAACCGTTCAGTGTTTGCAATCAAATTTGTTATCCTATTAATTTATATCATATGTCATAGAATCACTTAGTTGTATTGCCATGTTTTACTTCATATAAGCGATGTTCTGATAGTTTGGGTGAAAAGTCAGCCGTACCTATGTGGTCCACATAGTCATTGGACTTGAGCAGATGTAGTCAACTTCAATTATTTTTAGACACGTGCTGGCTTACCTTAAAGGAACTGCATGTTTGTATAAAGTTTTTTTCGATAATTTCATTCTTTCCTTATTTCTGATTTATTTACTATAAAGTATACAATTTTAGTTTTAATTAAAAACTGTTAAATATGGAAAGTAGGCGTGGTATTTTCATAATGTAATTTGGTTAAAATTGTTCGAGCAGTATCTAAGATATATTAATTCACCTAAAGGTAGGCGGTGACATCGCCATTGCTCTCCAGGATATCTTAATGTTGTGCTGGAATTTAGAATATCATACCCCCGATTTCGGAGTTAAAATGGATATGTACGGATAGAGGAGGTACTCCAGATAAAGAAATTATAAATATATATACGAGGTGTGTTCAAAAAGTATCGCGAATTTTGTGTTTTTTCAAAAATTATTTATTTATTCATGAATATCTGTTTTGTCCCTTCAAAGTAATCCCCAGGAGATATTATACACTTGTGCCAACGGTTTTTCCAATCTTCGAAGCACTTCAAAAAATAATTTTTTTCTTTCTTCTTCAGCTCCTTCTTCGATACCGTCCTTATCTCGTCAAGAGAAGCGTAACGTCGTCCGTTCATGGGCCTCTTCAGTTTAGGGAACAAGAAAAAGTCACAGGGGGACGGATCTGGGGAAAACTGCGGCTGCGGCATCATTAGTGTGTTGTTTTTGGACAAAAAGTCGATCACAAGCTGCGATGTGTGAGCAGGGGCGTTATCGTGGTGCTAAAGCCAATTTTTGTCACATCTTCTCAGCCTTCTGAGGACATTTTGTACCACCGATAAACGTTGCTTCAGTCCAAGGTAGCTTCTCCGTATGCCACAGTCAACATTCGGAATGCACACAAAATTTGATACAGGTTCTTTCAGATAAAAATCGAAGGCGACCCAAAACACGTTCAAGCAAAGCAGCTGTCAACACTTGAATGAACATTCAAAATGGCCTAGCTTGTCGACATAAGTGAGAGACATGGGTACCAACATAACGCCACAAAAAATTCGAAATTCGAATATACGTAACCCGCGAAAATTCAAAATTCGCGATACTTTTTGAACACACCTCGTATAGTTGCCGCTTATGGTTTTTGACTTATTTGCAGAGAGAGTTCAAAAGTTCAACTATTTAAAGTGTCTTAATTTTGACTCAAGTTATCAGTGGTACGGACGCATGGACGGATTTCTAGTCAACTCATCATTCGCACCACTTATATATGTACATAGATACAAACTCCGTATCTATCTCGGTTAGGTTTAGGTGTTACTAACAACCGTTAGGTGAATAAACCTATTATATGTATGAGCACTCTGTTTCGGAAGTTTAAAAATTACTGATTAAACTGTTTTTCTAATTTTACTTTTACAGAATTCATGGAAATGATGACCGGGGAATAGATCTAAACTACAGATCTAACATGCCTTCATACATACATCTGTACTTCCTTAAATAAATATATGTAATGCTTGTTTATACTTTAAGAATATATTTTCAGCAGTAAAAATTCAGGCCCTGATTCGTGAGGGGTATTTACCGTGTCTTTGCATTATAAAATTTCATTAATGTGGTTTGACATTTTGTATATCTCAATATATATAATATATATGTATTTTTTATATACATATGTAAATGTATTCAATAATCGTTCTTTGTAGCCATTATCACAATTTTACACGCGTTCACAAATTGCATACATACTTACGCTTAATTCTGTTACTAAAAATATTGCTCATAAAATAAAGTATTTTAATAAAAAAAATTAAGAGCTTGTATGAATTACAATGAGTAATTACTATTCTATAGAAAAGCTCTGGTGTTAACGAATATTCTGTACTCTTGCAGGAATCAAAGCCAGGGCACGACTTTAAGGTGTAAACTCAGTCATATAAAGTAAAGTCAGCCGGAAGTTCGAAAATCTTTATAATAGGTAAATGGAGGGCTCAGGTATATTGGGTACAGAGTTAGTATTGTCAGAAAAGGATTCTTTCAGAATTTGAATTGATTATCCCACACATTTCCCGAGCGGTACCTAGGGGCTTGAACGATTTTGGTTGGATGTGGCTAATTACTTTAAAGTATTTATTAGTGCAAAGTTTTATCCCGCTATATTAAGCTACCCGATTTGTATATTGGAAGGTAAAAGAAGTAGAAGAAGAGGAAGACCTTCACTCCCTTGGAAGGACCAGGTGGAGGAGGACCTGGCTTCGCTTGAAATCTCCAATTGGCGCCACATAGCAAAAAGGAGAAACGACTTACGCGCTGTTGTTAACTCGGCTATAACCGCGTGAGCACTGTCTACGCCAGTAAAGTAGACAGATATGGGCTGTTGACGTGGTTGTAGTCCGATTTTGCCCATTTCACCGCTGTAACATTGGAATATGAGAAGAATGCTACGCAATAAAATTAGTCGGAATTGGTCGAGCAGATCTCGAGATAGTTGATTTCACCAAAAAGTTGGCGGTACCACGCCTTTTGCCTAATCATCCATTTTCACTCTGTCGGTAGAGTCTCTTATAATATTTCGGTTTAGCAAATTTGGCTGTTGTAGTTTTAGTGGTTTATTAGATATGTACATTTAACTTGTTAGAGGGCGGGGCTACGCACACTTCTTTAAAAATGTTTGCCATACAGATGCGCCTTGCTAACTCGCCCATCTACGTACTCGCACTTTTCTTTTTACTAGGGAACGCGCGTAACAAGTTTCATTGAGATATCTCAATTTTTACTTTTAGCCTTTAATATTAACATAGAGGACTGAACCAATACATATAAAAAATTTCCATTGAAAATACACGACAATCCTGATTTTTTTATCTTAAAATTTCTTGAGCTCAGAGGCATTTTATGGCATCGCTTTGCCTTTAGACACATATTCCATAGAATTGAACACTCTACAAAAGTGCCCAGTGTGACAAAGTCGCAACTCACACTGGCGAGGTAGTACGGGGGTCTAAACCGGATTTTTCCACGAATTTTGCATTTTTTTTTTGTATATACATATTTCGTAAATGACAAGAGCTATAGAAAAAATGTCAAAGACAAACTTGTAGGAAATTTTATTTGCTACCAAAAATGTCCGAGGTCAAAATTTATAGCATTTTTATAGATGGTATGTATTAAAAAATCTATGAAAATTCTATAGTTTTTTTTTACGACAGAATACACTACTTTGCTCGACATTGATGCGGCCTTTAACGGCCGGAAGCAGTGATAACAGTCCTTGAAAATATATAGTTTTTTTGCGACTGAATGGTCGTAGCGGACTGAGATAGTGCAAATAAATTCCGAAAGGTTAATAGGGGCATCCCGCAGGGTGGGGTATTCTCCGCATTGCTTGGGATCTTGGTTGTCAATTACTTTCTTAAGGAACTCAAGGAACGAGGCTGTCGGGTGACTTGTATACTTTCGTCAACGGTGTTGTTTTGGATCTACGAAATCGTAGTCAAATCAATAATTTTTTATGGTGTATTCATCTGGTGGGTGTACATCTGCGGTGCACAGCAGAATGCGCCAACAATAGAACTTAAGTATTAAGCCTTACTATTATAGCAGAGTCATTGGAGAATAGGCGCTGTGAGTTTTTTTTTGCGGATGGGTTCTAGCCAGGAGGGGAGTCTTCTTGAAGGAGATGGTCTCTCTGTCAAATTTAATTGTAATGTCTTTCAGGCCAAAGTGGCTGCTACTTACTGCTCAGTGGTGAGCATTCATTCCGACAGCAAAGCGACGATACTAGCATTGAGCTCGAACTCACTAGATACCGCTACCAGCAACTTCGGTAAAAGGCTCGCTTGATGGCGAGAAGGGGCAACCTAACCTCGCTCATATCGAAATGGGAACAATTGGATCCCTGTTGTCCTTTTGCGTACTAACACTGGATATAAGAACCTCGTCTGCGACAGGCAACTGGCCTAGAGTAGAACGTATTCGATCTACAGAACTACTTTCTCTTAGCAAAATTCATCTTGTCGCAATTAGGGGCTCTTACTGCATGTTATCCAATAGGCTAAAAGCTAAGGTGAGGTTTAAGCATCCATGCTTTTTCTACTTCTTTGTTCAGCTTTTGCAAGACTGAGATTCTCATTCAACATCTCTGCAGTCATACCTTTTAAACAAACATTAGCTCCACAACAGATTTGTAATCGGTCGGCACAAAGCGTTCCTTTGATGGACGGTGGGTCATTAAGTTCAATTTTGTAGCAGTATTGGGTACTACAACGGACTGGCTATAAGCCGTTCAAATGAGATCCCTGTTAGAATCGACCATTCAATCTCTTCTACGAATTAACTAATATTTAAGACCCTACAATATCACATTATTATTTGTAAACCCAAAATGGCCTACCCACTAAATGAGAACATGACTTCTGTACATATGTATATTCTTAGTCACTTTATGAAAAGTGTTTCAAGGACTGGAAAAATCGTTAGCATAAGTGTATCACATCTTGATAGCGACAAAATAAATACTGATGAATGTTTAAATATTTTGCGTTTTATTTGCATTTTTTAAATTTTTTTTCACAAACTATTCTTAGCTAAAACGGCCCTAAATAAACAGATAACTCGATAAAGTTAAATTATATTTAAGGATTTTCCAATATTTTGAGGCATATAAATATGTACATATGTATGTATGTATGTCTATTGTCTATATATGATCATATCAATATCAATACTGTCTGCACTACTTGTCAAATCCTCTCGATGTTTGTTGGTTTTATTGATAACGATAATAAATTAATATGATTTAGCATACCATAAGTAGTATGTCTCCATAGACTCCGATTTTATGCTCACGATGGCAATTGTGTAGTAGTTCTTCTATGCCGACTCGGGCAAACTATTGGCATTATACAATCAAATCATCGAAGTCTTATCACGCGCCAAGCTTCGGCTCATTTGGATTGTGAGCCGCTTCACAACACGCGCCGGAAAATATTTTGGTATATGGCCGACAGACTTCGATTTGTGTGTGTGTGTGTGTGCCAAAATACAGTAGTCGCTACAAATCGTCTTGCTCATGTCCGCATGTACATACATACATATGTATGCATGTATGCCGATATAGCGGATTCTAATGAGTCGCTGTGTGCGCGCCGCTTCACGCCACCGCCGCCATCACTGCCGCCCCGCTGCAATCAACACCACCACCACCACCACCACCTGTTGAGTGGTGAAGCTCTTAGACGTTTTATCGGCTAACATGCTCTTTCAGCTTGGCTAGCACACACAGCACACTCGCTACGGTAATTTTGTTTTACTGTAGAATTTGTAATCGCAATCGTGGCCAGAAGCTTTGCGGCCGCTCATTTCAAGTCGCTGCAGTCAGTTGTTTAACACATTTAGTGCCCGGTTGACATTCCGCGAGCATAGCTGTCGTGAGCTTATCAGAAAGGCAGGCAGACAGGCAGGCAAGCAGGCGCTTTTTATACTCGGTCGGGAATTTTTGCGGTTCAATATACCTGTATTATTAGCGGCCATAATATAACGATTATAAATCAATTTATTTTCGCGTTTCAAATGATTTTTATTTGCTGCGACTTAAAAGCGTTTATTATTCAGCTTTAAATACATACACACGCATATGTGTGAATGTATGTACTCATAAACAGTACTAACTTAAACAAAAACAAAAGAAAATAGCGTTAAAATAACCCTAAACAAAACAAAAAGTACAACAGTGAAAACCTCAGCGATCACCATGCCACAAAGGTACGCACACACAACAATACACATTTGTATGACTACATTGTTTAAATAAGGTATTAAGATATTATTAGTGATTTGGTATGCCCCCGGTGAGTCACAGTGTGATTTCAGAAAAGAGGTCTTTCCCAAGAAAAAATAATAAAAAAAATACCAAGCGAATCTCATCTTAATTTGTATTGACGCAGAAGCTGACATCGGCAAACATTCGCAAATCTAYATATTATATATTATATTTATAAATATATGTATATAAATATATTATATACATCCTTACATATCTACATATACAGAATTAAGCCATGCAAATGTGTATCATATTCATACATACATACATACATATAGTATGTACTTACTGTAGGCATTAGGCTGTTATGTTGAGAAGACTTGCTTTATACCCTGAACAGTGTATATTAGTTTGGCATAGAACCCAATTTTCATAGACGGTTTTCGGTTCGATATTCGTACGAAGTTCAGCAATCGTCGCTAGCTTGCTTGCATAGACCATAGATATGACGTAGAATTACAGGAAATAGTCTAACAGCGTCAAATCGCACGACAGGGGCGGACAATTTACTGGGATATTTCTTAAGATAACACGTTCACCAAATTTCAATAAGTCGATTGTAGGATATTCGCTGTTTGGCTTGGGGCGCTGTCTTATTAGAACCACATAATGTCCAATTCGGACTAAAATATTTGATTATCATTGAGTGGTAGCCATACCCATTCACAGTAAAATGCCAGTATTGATCATCACGGAAGAAGTACGGTCCAATGATGAAGTACACGTGGATTGCTGCCTGACCAATAACGCATATTATGCTTATTGACTAAGCCATTCAGTCAGAAATGTGTATCAGGACTGAAGATGAAATCACGGCCCGCTTTCAAGTTGTTGCTCAGCCCAATTCACGAACGAACGACGATTCTGGTGGTGAAGCGGCTTCAGTTCCTGCGTCGATTTGATCTTGTAAGGATGTAGGCTAAGATCTTTTCGCAAATTCGTTATAAAGACGAAATGCCCGACGCTTGAGAATGACGTGTGAGAGACCGATTTGGGTCTTGCTCAATTGATGCGCTAGCGGCAGCAATATTCTTGACACTGCGGGCAATTCATTTATACCGTGCCTGTGGTTTCACATTTTTCCAGTAGACGCTCAATTGTTGATCTGACAGGACGTTTATGACGACCATGACATGGACGTAGCGCTTCTAAAACAGTTGTTGGATCGAATATCTTTCCATGATGAGATGGCAAACCTAACTGAGAAGAAATGTCGAAGGATCGAGGAAAATATGGCGTAATTTTCTGTCCCTATCGGTCTAGTTTTGTAGGGTTCCTATTGAAATAACGTACTGAGTCGATTTAGTCATATCCCTGCGTTTGTATATATGGAAACTAGTGCCACAGTTTTGGAGATAACGGTCTAAAAATTTACAGACGTAATTTTTTTCTTTCAAGGAAGGAGCTTTTTTTCCTCGGTTTCGGCGATTATCGCTTCATGAGACACAAATTTCTTCCCAGTGAGCATTATTTTGAGATTTCTGTACAGGAAATAATCGCTGGAAGACAGATCTGGAGAAAACGATGGATGTGGAAGCAATTCGAAGCCCAATTCATGGATTTTTGCCATCGTTTTCACTGACTTGTGATACGTTTTGTTGAAAAAGCGCTTTCTTTTTTTTCAAATGCTACCGTTTTTTGGCGATTTTGTATTGCTGGTCATTCCTTTTTCGATGTAGACAATAAAAATTATTCCAGCCGATTGTTGCGTCTTTTCACGCTTTGGAGCGGATTCATCATGTGCCGTCCACTCGGATGATTGTCGGCTGAACTGCGGAGTGAAATTGTAGAGTCTTGTTTCATCCATTGTCATATGTCGATACAAAATCTCGAATTTATTACGCCTGAACATCGCCAAACACTGATCCGAATCATCAACTCATTGTTGTCTTTGGTCAAAAGTGAGCACGCGCGGTACACACTTTGCACAGAACTTCCTCATACCTAGATAACCGTGAATGATTTGATGTACACGTTCAGTTGATAGCTTTAGAGTGCCTGCTATCTCGAACAAGCTCACTTTACGGTCATCCAAAATTGTTTCGTGAAATTTTTTGATGTTTTTGTTGATAAAAATCTCTTTCGGGCGTTCGGGCTGATTTCACCACATCTAAACTTAGACATATCAATAGTTGATGATTGATTTTCTGGGGGCAGTTGTCGGAAACTCGTCATTAAGTCCAATTCAGCTTCAAGCCTATTTTTTCTCTTCAAAAAGCAATATTTTATCAACACGCGACATTCCGTTTTAGCCATTTTTTTCACAATATCAAAAGTTGATTCAGTCAAAATGATATAATCCACAAAATAATGATCCAATAGCTGTCAAATTTACAATGGCGTCTTTTGAAGGTTAGGGCTTATTAAAAATGCGATTTCATGTATTTATATAATAAATATTTTATTGTATAAATGATTATAAAATAAAAAGAAAAATAAAATAAAATAAAAAAAATTATATGGATTTAATTCTAGTATCGCCATGTATGAGTCAGGTCGGAACTTTTCAATTGACTTGTTATAGAATGTATCTGCAGAGCATTGTGTATATTATTGTCCGAGTCACTGTATAATCGCCGAAGAAATCGTTCAGATTGGGCCAATCGGAAGCAAGTTTTTGTGCGCGAACTTTTTTTTTATTGGGTATTACAGCTTCGGTGCAATCGCAAATAACGGTTTCTCTTCGTTACTTACATGCAATTAACCGTTGGGAAAATTCAGTTTTACTAAATTATTTCATAATTCATTCATACAAACTGAGGCATAATTATTTTACGTTGGTTGTAGCTATCATACATGCATACCGGTCAATATGTGTGTAATTATTTATGGCCTTTTGCCACTAAACAATGTTGGCAAATATCTAATCCACGGCCGCCATATCGCCACCACGATCATATGTTCTTGTTTCTTTGTTTACTGTTTTGTTGTGTATTTGGTTGACTTTAAGTAGGTGGCTTTTCTTAGCAAAAGTGTTGACAGTTCGGACAGAAGAGATTCTCTAATAGAAATGTTTGTGCTACGCAAACAGCCTGCCATGATACCGGATGGTTGGGCGTGCAAATGTATACATATGTGTATGTATGTATGTATATATGTATGTAATCGCATTTATAATTTTTGGTGTATAATAAATTATCCAAATTTAAGCACAATCGATTATGGCAGCTTAATTTATTTATTTATAATGCTGCTCGGCATGACAAATGGTTATAAACACACATGCATACTCACATGTCGGCTACCTATGTACAACTTGATATATAAAATATATGTATTTATATACATATATGATATATCTATTATATGCAGAAATGTGTGTACTTTCGCAGCTTATCTCTTAGTACCTGGGATATTTCTGTATTTTGAAGAGAAAATTTCGTTAATTAAAATATTGAATTATCACTGGAAATTTATCGGTTTGTTTGTTCAAAAATCATTTAGTGAAGGTGCAAATTATAATCTAACACAATTATATAATTCGAAATTATGGTGTCAAAAAGTTATAAATTGAAGCGGTTAATGTGTTTCATAGCCGACTAAAATGCAGAGAGACACCATATAATGTATAATATGTAAGTGTGGCCTAAATATCTATGTATGTATATGGCAACACTTCGCGTTTCTTCCGATTTCACTTTGCATTTGTGTTCCACTTCTGCCAAATGTAAGCAAATAAATTGTTTTCAATAAACAGAATTCTGATTTTTTTTGTACTTGAGTCACATGTTTTCAGGTCAGCTTCAGAATTTGTCACAACTTTTGTACTCGCGCAACATGTTACATAGAGTTCAATGGTTTTGCTTACATGACGGTATTCTGTAATACCATAAAAGCTTAAAATTGTATACCGTTATATGTTGTTTGACAGATTTTAACGTATTATAAGCGACTTGTTCAATTTTGAAGAATCAAAAGAGTAACCTAACCTATTCCATACGCGGGTATTTTGTTCAGACGTGAGATTTTCAATGAGCCAATACTTTTTAGAAGCTTGTCTTTTTGACAACTCTTACTTGATACTTGATTCATACTCAATTTGGTTTGACATTTCATTATAAATAAACTTACTTAGAAAAAAAAAAAAAAAAAAAAAAAAAAAAAAAAAAAAAAAAAAAAAAAAAAAAAAAAAAAAAAAAAAAAAAACACATCGCAACCTTCGGCTATTTCTGAAGTTACACGGAGAAAAATTTTAGTATTGATGAGTTTCATTGAAAGCACGCGGTGGTTCAGAGAGGAGACGATAGAGTGATGGGATTTTAGTCCCGGTGGTTTCACATTGGGCCTCAGAAAAGCCTAGGTGCGTCGTCCGACAGCCACTCTACTTACCTACCTACTCAGAGAAAACGTTCGGTGAATGGACTCAAAACGAGATGGAGCTCACTTTTGGTTGAACGAGTACGATAATAAACAAAATTTTTGCATTTGGTGTGTTGATAAGCCACAAGCCATTATTGAAATGTCATTATATCTTCAAGAAGTCACTGTTTGGTGTGTTCTAGGGACAGAGGAAATCATTGCTACATATTTTTCCGAAAATGAAGCAGGCCATAATGTTACAGTCCATGAAGTTCGTTCGGAGTCTAAGTAACCGAAACGGACCAATATTTTTATCCAGCAACTGACTTTCAACTCGGCACCATTGTATGGTGTAATTTCGAGCTTCAAGAATGTTTTCTGCCGCTGTAATAACAACAACAACAGTCAATGCAGAACGCTACGTACATATTTAGAGTCTTGATTAATGACTTTTTCGTGCTTGGAATGTTGCTGTGGACGGCCTTCGTTTCCAACAAGACGATGCTACATGCCATACAGTCAACGAAACAATCAATTTAAATCTAATTCTATATCGAACAAACCTACAGTCATGTTAACTTTGTTAAATGTAACATTATTTTGAATATTGAATTTCGAACTTTTTACATTCATGCAATTTGGACTAGTATCCAGTGTTTGGTTTCGCCCGAATTTAGCCTATCTTGCTTCTTTGTGTTATGACTCCACGCCGGTAAATGTAAGAACTTATTTGTATGTATGTTGTATGTATGCACATATACATTTGTATGTCCAATGAGTGAGCTTACTTTAATTGAGGCTAATAAGCTTGGCTTTGGCGCAGAAATTATGTGTAATTTAAAGTTTTGTTAAGCGGTGAATGCTATTATCTTAACACGGAAACCATAAGTCGTGCTTACACGTGCCTATCCGCAGCAAGCTCACCGTTTAAGACTGGAACAAAGTGTACATATATATATATATGTATATATGTATGTACATTGGACAATATTATGAAGACTTGGTTTGTGCATTCGACTCACTATCTTCCGGCAATGAGAATTTTGTGCACAGTGATTATTTTATCAACTTTCTGCATTCATCGTTCCCTATTAGTCCATAATTTTCAAACAGTAGAAGAAGTACTCTGAATAATAAAACAAGAAAAAATGTTAGCTATATGCTAAAGTAATCCGATCTGAAAATTTTTTTCGGAGATTACATTATTACCTTAAGCAGTAATCCATGTTAAATTTCGTCAAAAATGAAAGTTTTCCATACAAGAACTTGATTCCGATCGTTTAGTTTGTATGGCAGCTATATGCTATAGTTAACCGATTTGAACAATTTCTTCGRAGATTATACTTTTGCTTTAGAAAATAACCTGTGCCAACTTTTATGGAAATACATTGTGAAATGTGCAAATTTTCCATACAAGAACTTGATTCCGACCGTTCAGTTTGTTTGGCAGCTATATGTTATAGTGGCTTCTTGAAGAGAAAATGACGTTTGCGAAATTTCAAAACGATATCTTAAAAACTGAGGGACTAGTTCGTATATATACAGACAGACGGACATGGCTAAATCGACTCAGCTCGACATACTGATCATTTATATATATATACTTTATAGGGTCCCCAACCCTTCGTTCTGGGTGTTACAAACTTCGTGACAAACTTAATATACCCTTTTCAGGGTATAAAAACGTTAACTACCGTTACACTGAAGCTTTAAAGAGCGTTCAGTTTTTATGACAGTAATATGTTGTAGTGATCCAATGTCGGTGTTTCCGCGAATGAGAAACCGGTTCATGAGAAAAGGAAGTGTTCAGATCGATACAATTTTCAGCGATCAAGGGCTAAAACCCTTTCACTCTATTGTCTCCCCTTTGAACCATCAGGTGCTTCTGATGAAGTTAATCAGTACAAAAAATGCGATGATTTGTGCAACCTCCGAGATATTGTCGAGATGGTGGCGATTCTTTTCCAGAGTTTTACATCTTCACAAAAATTATTTTATATTCTCCTCTTCTTCTACCTTTTGACAACTCCTACAATTATTCATTATATGGCGTTCCTAGTCTTTTGGCATGTTTGCTAATTAGACAGTGACAGTTAGCATTTCTACTACAGTTCTTATGTCAATTCTTTTTGATTTTAATAGTCATGCGCCGAACTATTTGGTTAGGGAATGACTCCAGCTAGACTCCGCTATATTTATAATATATGTATTTGTCGAATAAAGATCTACATATAGTCAGAGGTATAGGGTGGTTCTTGCTCTCGGAAGTTCACGTGCTTCGCAGTTACTAGGAATAGCACTATGTTCTGGACCCCACTGTAGGCTTGATATCTTCGTTAGTCCTTGGTGCATATACTATAAAGCTCCCGAGGTACATGTTCTATGTTTTTTTGCGATATTTTAGGTTTTACTCAAGGTATATTTCTTATAGTGAGAAAAACCTATATTCTGTAATTATATAACCGCTAAATAACTTTCTCACAAAGAAAGAATTTGATATGTGTACAACATCTGACCAAGCTTTAATTAATTTCTAGTTCAAGAATAATTAACAGTGTTAATATCTGTCTTTTTCACATATGTATGTACATTAACAGAATCGCATTTGAAAAACTATTTAAATGATTACTATCTAATTGTTCGACAATTATCGTCGTTCGTCGTGTTTAAAATCTTTATCACGAATAGGGGAATATAATATTAATATTTGATTGCTATATAAAAAATAATAATTAAAATTGAATGAAAATCTTCTCGCTCTAATTGAAGAGCGGTTGATAGATTTTTGGTGTATCGCTTACATTTCTAAAGGAACCTTGTAAACTGGGTTGCTAAACGCGCAAATATAATTGTTGAAGACAGTGCTTTTAATATTTTCAGTAAAATAGAATTTCTGACCCGGGGAACTTTGAGGAGTTCGTATGCAATTTCTCGCTTAACACAAATATTTTATGTTATAGAAGAGGCGTTTCTTTAAATTCCATAGTTTCGGATTGTATTTTAAAGGAAACTCGCTTAAATTTTGGACTAAAAATTTAGTATTCATTGTAAATGGGTTTCCAATAATTGTGATATGATTTTTTTTCAAAAGAAGTACCGAAGGATGATTCCAACAAATCAAAAATCACACCAAACTGTCAATTCAGGTCAATGTAATGGTTGTTCATGAATAATTTGTTCATTTTCTTCTCACCAGAATCGACAGTTTGACGACAGATGAAAGTTAGCATCATCGGATATGATTTTGTTAAAAAAAATCGTTATCCCTTTGAAGTTTGTCTGTTGCATATTCACGACGATTACGATTGGCCAAAATTATTGCTCAAAATCCGCCAGGTTATGGTTTGAGACAGTCGCAATTCTTGAGAACGTCTTAAAATCGACAAATTCCGGTCTTCAGCAAAACTTGCCTGAATGACACCAATATGTTCTCTACTTCGAGCGGTTCTTTGTCTTATTGCCACTTGAACATTATGTACGTTTGAAATTTTCAACATTTCGACGAAGTGCGATAATAAAATTGAATAATTTGTAAACGTTGTTCTTGGGTATAACTTTCCATTATTAAATTGTCGTACAACGAAAAAAATTACAGATCATGAAGTATTAAAAATTACCGAAACGGCACTTGGAAATCATACCACCCCTGCTGCAAAATCGTATGTACATACATACATATATAGCTAAGYGAATAAACAAAATGTGTGCCACATAAAATTCACCATAATTGTTATAGGTGGCTAGTCAGATCAATCTTTTATCGGACTTACGAAGTCAACCCAATGCCTTTAAACTTTCACACATTCACAAATGTATTAATAAAATAAAATATTAAATAATTGGGACAGTACCTTGAAAGTCCAGTTTCAGTTTCAGTTTCAGTCGCTGTTGCTTTTTGATTTCAGGTTCGGAACACAACCCTGGGCAAAGCATATTTCCGCACGCATGTATGAAATGCATAAAGCACGGATAAAATCACATTTGTGTGCACCGAATATCCTTCACAAATAAGAAACTTTTTTCATAAAACAATCTTATTTTGATGTTAGAGTTTATATACCAGGCAAAGTCGTTCAATCTGAAAAGTTTATTGAAAGATTAATATATGCAAAGCTTCTCGAAGATATTAGAAATATTATCATTACCAAAAATATTAAAATTGTCACGTTTCCTCACAAAATTTCCTCACATCTGATCATTTTATGAATTAGCAAAATTCATTTTTTTTCTAAGTGCACAGAAAACTAAATATAATTTTTATAACGCTTTCATTAAAATGCTTGAATTTCGGAAATTGCATTTATAGATCTACAAATTGGAGTTTCACTCGAAATGGATTTACGAATCGAAAGCCGCAGCGCCATCTGCCGACTTTACCAGATTGTATGCTGCCAGCTGATAACGATTACAGCAACAAAGGCAAAAGCAGCTGGCTACGTCAAAAGATGGAAACCGAAAAGGAGGAAGCTCGAAATTTGGTAATTTAAATAAACTAAATGCATTAAATGACTTTATAAACAAAAAAACTTTCAATATCGATACGCTGTATTCATATTAATGAAACTGATTTGCTTCTATAATTTCAGCAGGTGGAATTTGAATGGGTGCTGCGCGAGGAGGTGCATGCGATATTAAAACAATTAAAGAAGATATTGGTCGAGTGTGCTCATCGCTTTCCTGTGCCGCTGTATGCCAATGAGGGTAAAAAGACTGAAAAATACATAATGAAAGTAGCGCCAGAAAAACTTAGTGCCATTGTGACTCTTACGGGTGATAGCATTACTCATGCAGTAAATTTGCCATTATTACATATGTATTTGTGAATCATATTTAACAAGTACCCTCTTTAAGGATATAAGCTTTAAGCTTGCGCGGCCACCGCATCATCAGCAGAAAACGTGTATTAACCAAGACACGCCATGGAAGTTGCAACAAGTGCAGGACGCAGCAAATCATCTACAGCAAGCAATTAACCACATTGATGATGTAGATGCTACTTACCATTTCAAGTGATTACTATTTGCTTGCTGATTCAAATAATTCTTATTAAATTATCATGTTTTACATATTTTGTAGAACATCTGACGAAGTTATGAATGTTGTAGGCAACATACTAGAGGCATTGCAACGTGCCCGCACCAGTTTGGTGATACCCAAAAAGAAGCCTATCGCCGATCTGATTAAAAGTCGCAATATGGTCAGTTAAGTTCTCTTAAATATGACAGAATATACAATTTTTATTTTTAGAAAGCGCTTGCTCCCAACCTCTCCGAAGACTTAGCCGTCAGCTTTTACCTTCAAAGTCACAAATTGATAATGGCTGTTTATCAATTAATTACTGTACAAGGTACAATGCACTTTGACTCATGCCAAGCGGAGACAACCGTGCAATGGTTAAACGATGTAATGCCAATGCTTTGCGCCGGTCTGAAACTCTGCCAACAACTTAAAGACAAGGTAGGTTTCATGTAAACGATTGGTGTGTTTTTTTTTAAAGAAAGTAAACTGATAGAAGAAAAAACTTTAACTGCGGTTGCAACGAAGCTTTAATAACCCTCACAAATAAAAAAATTCAGTTTCATTTTGATCATTCAGCTTATATGGCAACAATGTGGTATAGGGGTCAAATCTGAACAAAGTTTTTCGCCGTTGCCTTAAGCAGTAATTCATGTCATGTGTTTGGTGAAGATAAATTAGAACGTCATTTTGATCGTTCAGTTCGTATGTTGTAATGGTTCGTTATCGGCTGTTCCCGTAAATGAGCAGCTTCGTGAGGAGAAAAGTGCATGTGCCAAATTTCAACTCGTTATATAAAAAACTGGGAGACTAGCTCGTGTATATACGGACTGAAAGAGAGACGAGTGGACGGACACTGTCAGGGTGTAAATATTGGGGGGGAAAATATATGTAAATATCTACGTAAACATTCGCTAAAGTTTTCTGTAAAATTGTTGTGCGTGTTTAGCACATTTTGTGTGTGATATGAGACTCATCCACTGAGAGGTTCTGTCAATGCCTCCATATACTAATTTATTTGATTAGTGAAGAAATTATTATTATTTTTACTGTAAAATTATTTAAATAAATTAAATTTTTCAGATATCTGTGTTCTCGGTGTATAAGGATTTTACTGTCGAGTCCCGTCCACCATCGGCGCTTTTCTATTGACACTCACTAATGTCAAATTGAAAGTTTCAAATATGATAACAGAAAAAATATGCAAAACATTGATAGGATTTAGCGCTTAATTTCAAAATTGCAAAAAGTTTGTCAATGTATATTTAATGGTTTGTTATTTTCTGTTTGCATAAAAATGTACGAAAATGTTCGAATATTTTAAAGCATTTATTTTATACAATTACGTACAATGGAATACAAAGCAGAAACAAATAAGCAGACACAAATCACTCAAAGTGCCTAAATGATATACGTACTTAAGTATGTACATAAGTCACCGTTATTTAAAGTCAACAAAAAGTGACCTATAATAATATACAAATTTGTATTGGTCCTTACATTGCTAGCTTAATTTAGTAATACTATTCAAATTTTATACATATATGCTTTTATCAAATTCTTGAATTTAGTTTAATTTATTTTAATTAGTTGATCATTTTTAGCCTAATCCTAAATTTAGTTTAGAGTTATATTACAAATATATGTCACATAGCAAGTAATGAATATTCTGCTTAAAGAGCAGCAAAGAAGATGTGCAATAAAGTTGCCTTTATATTCTGCCTTAATTCTGCTTGAAAAATATTTCGCAGAAATAATTATTATAATTATGTATTTGAGGGAAAGGATGTGAATTGTAACTACTATTACAGTGAAAGTATTAAAATATACAATAAAAAACCGCTGAAAAATAAAGTTTTGGCATTAGTTTTTATTAACGGACGGTTGGTTAAAATTTAGCAACCAAAGGAAATGTTATTATATTTAATTGTTTTCACAATTACACAGAGATTGCTTGAGCAAATTTAGCTATAACTAAAAACAAGGAAAAACGTTTTTTTCGGTAGCAGCGAAGCTCGAAGTACCGAATAGACTTCACAAATATAAATGATTATATAAAAAAAAAATTGATTTTCATTGATCAGTTTGTATGACAGCTATATGGTATAGTGGTAGGATTTGGACAATTTTCTTCGCAAATAGTACCGTTACCTTGGAAATTAATCCATGCCGAATTTGGTGAAGACATCTCGCCAAATAAAAAAGATTTCTATATAAAGACCTGATTTTAATCGATTAGCTTGTATGGCAGCCACATGCTGTATTTGTACGATTTGAACAATTTCTTCGTTTTTTACTTTTTTTTATCCAACAAGGCCGAATATAAATTCTTCTAATTAAAATAGGAATTTTTTGTATGTGTGTTTGTTGTTCAGTGTCGGCAAAATATTCTTTGTTGCATTATTTATTGTAGTACACATAGACCATTATCATCATCCAATAAACGATCATAAACTAATAAGCGACTTTTAATGATTTTAAAGGCTATTGCAGAAATTTTTATATTTTGAAATGTCGTTTGTTTGCCATTTGGATTAGGGTAACTTTTATTATTATTCTACTATTATTAGTCAACGCCAATAAAAAAGAAGAAGACTTAGCAATTTACGGAAGCGATACTACTTGACTGAAGCATTTGATAGATTAGGAGCGGTAGTAAATGCTAGCTACTTAATTCACCTTTAATCAGACACATAATTGACGAAGGAAGGTCAATATTTACTCGGTAGCCTTGAACAAACATGTTTATCGATATACATACATACGAGTACGTATGGACGCAATTAGGTTTGCAAATAATGAATTAATTATTAATTTAATAAATATTTGATTTAATTTTGTTTTTGTTATCTCGAAAATTATAATTAAAATAATTTTTAAATTCTTATTCTCGAATACACGATTGAACAAAAAAAAAGAAAAAAATTATTT